CCACCTAATATACCGATGCATCCCATTCCCACCATATATGATCGAAACTTGGCATGGTCATCAATATCAATGCATCATAGAACTGAGTGCTATATAGCAAAAAGAATCACTGAACTCACAAGTTGCACCTAGCTAGGGTGTACTGTATATAGTGGGATAATATATCATCTGTTTGTATAAGCTGCAGGAATGAGAAGTAGGATGTCTGTTTAACTCATATTGATGGCTAAGTATGGCTGAAATGCTCCTATATATAGTGAAGTTTTTCGCACTGTATGTGTCATGCATTGTGTTATGATCTTATATAATCAGTGACTTCACAGCCAGCAGTGTTATGTACTTCACATGCCATTCAATTAGTGAGTTTTATGAGCATATATCTAAGTAGTGATTTTAAATCCGGAGGTGTTATGAATTTCACGTGTCGTTCAATTATTGAGTGTCATAAAGACTGCAAAAAAACACCATGGATGGATCCCATGCATACATATATTTAGGGTTGTTTGGACGGTTCCATCCTAGGTAGGTCTAGATGACGGCACCCAGGCCCATCTCAGCCCCAGGCAACCAAAATCGAACAGCTAGGGTCTCTACTGGTGCCATACATCTTTGCAGGGGATGGAACCAAAGATCCTCCTTACTGTCTATGATCTATATAAACCACATGCATACGCACTGCATAGAGCGACCAGCAATGACACGAACAGCATGGTGCTCTTATGTTAGCCCTGTGGCATCCATCCATGGCATCACATCACATGGACGCGATGCCGCAGGAGCAATTTGGGTAGTTATAATCACCTGGTGGCAAATCAAAACAAGTTCACATCTTGACTGATTTCTAGAACGAGGCTAAACAATGGGTGTTACATTATTATGTGAACCCATGTAGGCTCTAGAACTGGCGATGTTCGGCACGTTTCAACTTCAACGGAGACAACTAAATTTGATATCTAATTGAAATCACTGTCCCAGCAGCAAAATGTTATTATCAGAAATTCCTACGCTCCAAACTAGAGGCAGGTCTGGAATTCGTGTCCTGCTAATCCTCTGTTTTAGCTCACAGGTCATATTCTCTGTAGCATCGCAGGTGCAATCAGAACTATGTGCTCCGCTGCAGCTTCTTAACCAGCAGTGGAGGTCATGCGTATGTCGCGTACTTCGTCAACTGCAACCAGATGTGCACTGTAGGACACGAAGACTGTGCTTGTCTCTGGAGCTCTGTCCGAAACGGCAAGGACACGACTACACAATGACTATGTCGCGCTAGGATCCCATGGGAGTGAATGAGACAAAATGGCTATGTCACGGTGAGGACACAGCACTGCGGTCATAGTAGGCGCGACATAACATCTCGATGCATCCCATTCCCACAATATGATGCAAAATTAGCGTGATCATGCATCAATGCATGATGATGGAACTGAGTACGTACTGGTGTATATAGCATATAGAATCACTGACGAACTCACACACGCAGCTGGCTACGGTGTGCTATAGTGGGATAATATTAGCCGTTTGTATAAGCTGCAGGAATGAGAAATAAGATGCATGTCTGTACCTCGCGTGGATGGCTTGAAGTTTTTGGGTCCGGTCACGCTCTTGTACACCAAGTTTTTCACATGTATGTCTCTTGTGTTGTGTTGTGGTATGAATATATATAAGAGGTGATCTCAAATTCAGGGTTGTTATGTATTTCACATACTCAATTATTGAGTGTCATAATGACTATAAATAAATTGGTTGGATCCCATACAGATAATTATTGAGATGCTAATTCACAGGTGCCTCAAAAGTAGCCATCTCATGCAACACTGTACAGCCGTTGGATTTGATTGAATGGCTGGATCACCGCCTTCAACCCGTAGCGCAGCTGCTGCTGGTTCCTTCGATATTTTTTGTTTGTGTCACCTGTGCATGGTCGACTCCACCGCCATCTCTCCTCCGGCCATACCCAGCGGCAAGGACATGGCCGGTCATCCACTTGCCGCCTGCGACTGGTCATCAGCAGCACCATCGCCTCGCCATTCTGAATCCATACCTACCTCTAACTCTGGCCAGGCCTGCTCATCGCTGCAAACAATGCTAAGCAAATAACTAAAACCTGATACGTATTGACACCGAGGCAATTAAGAAAAAACAATTTTGTCTATGTTAGATAATCATAAAAACTTGATCTATATTGATACAGAGATAATCAACAATTTAAAATTTATTCTACACGTACTAAAACAATGACAAAAAGCTTGATCTGTGATGATACAAAGACAATTGACAAATGACAATTCTTTCTATAGTCAAACAATAACAAAAATCTGTGTTGGCACAAAAACAATTAACAAATTATAATTACTTTACTAGTCCATCAACCCATGCTCTCGCACGTGTTAGAATTATAAAAGATATACTATTTAATACATTTGACTAATAATAAATTCTTTATATTAACTATGTATTTTCTTAGTTTATTTTCTACAAAATAGACATAATAGATACATTGTAGACAATATCTAATTATCATAAACTTATTACTTTTTTGCAAGGGACTGACTTATATATTTTTCATCCATATTCATATTTTTTAATTTGCATGGCATCTCTGTGTATTTTAATATGCAGTTAGTTTGAAACCTTGTCATTAATCATGGTGGCCCTTGTTGCATCACTACGAAGTCGTGAATCTAAATTTTTTTTATTTTTGAAATAAAAAATATTTTTATTGGCGGCTACAATTTTTTTTTTCTCAAGTTGAGATTCTTGTGCTTATTGTATCTTTTACTAACTCTCATTTTGCACTGTTTTTAAATAAGGATGTTAGGTCATAGTATATTCTTAAATACTACAAATAGCATATGCAATCATTTGAATCTTGCATTATATCACCTAAGATAAGTGAGGGAGATTGAAATGAGATCTTGGATGGGGTAGCAGTGCCAACCTCAAGAGAATTTTAAATCTTAAGCTTTGTAATGATCGTATTTTTACTCAAATATACGTGTTGTATGGTTATTTAAATAACTTGTTAGTAGGTGATATTGATTATCTTTTAAATGTCCATTTGAGAGGAAAATTAAATTTTTAATAATAAGATGAAAATTGGGTTACATAAATTAATTATCTATTGTAATAGGAGTATGTGGGTAATTAGATGCAAATTTTCATCTGCTTTAGATCATGTTTCTTTACGGTACATGTGGGTAGTTTAAATATAGTCATGAATTATTTTATGTTGTTTTAGACAATAGAAAAGGTGGGTAATTATTTAGAAAACAGAATAGATCCAATACCTATTATTATCAATGGTGATTAGATTATTTCGAATTGATGGTAATGTTTTAGATTTTTGTGAGAATTTCGAAGTTTTTTGTCTTGGTATTGTGTCTCGTGAGTATTAAAGTGGAAGCTCAATTAGGGACATCTAGTCATCATTTCTAGTATTTTTCTTTCTTTTGTAGTGTGATATGTATTTAGTTGAAATCTACTCTTAAGATATATAGTTGCATCCTTTTCTGTGACCACACGAATTATTGTTTGGCTTTCAAGTTTTAATCAAGTTGTACAATTTTTTACACATGTTAAGTTCAAACTCTAGTGCGCTTTATTTTTTTATTAAAATTTATTTTTTTATTAAGAAGAGTTTAGGTCCTAGTAGTACTGTTTTTCTCATGTTTTAATTAAGTTGAAACTCAAATTACACCTTAACAACGAACTTGTTGAATTTGTTATATCATAGAATTATATATGTGTAGTATTGCTTTACATATTATAGAATGCTAAAAATTAAACTACCAATATTCATATGACATAATGTTTCAATTAAAATCTATAAAATTATTTAAAATAAAAACTTATGAAATTGATTATTACGGAGTATTAATATAATGTAAAGTGAATTGTTGATGTTATGCTATTGCTTTGTGGTTTGTTAATTAAACATTTTCTGTGTTTATAAGCTATTAAAGTAAATAATTATCTTGATTTATATATGTTTACTTGGTATAGATGATTAAACATAGCATTATGCTTATTTAATTTTGTTGTATAATTTAAAGTGAATTGTTAGTGTTATGTCATTGTTATGTGGTTTGTTAATTAAACATTTTCCATGCCTATAAGGTATTAAAATAAATAATTATCCTAATGTATGTATATATATATATATATATATATATCTTTACTTGGTATAGATGGTCAAACATAGCATTATGGTTATTTAATTTCACAGTTTGGGAAGTTTGTACTTTACAAATATATATGTCTCAGTACTTTATGGATATTGATTTTTTAAATAACATATATTAGGATTTACATATAGATTTGAGAGAGGTGGGGTAATTTGGATGCAATGTGAGGGGTTTATTACGAACTATGTTTCATAATGGCAAAGTGGGTAATTTAGATACAAACTTAGGGGATTATTTTAAATTACTTTTCATAATGACAAGTGTTGGTAATTTATATATAAATTTAGGGGGTTATTTTGAATTATCTTTCGTAGTGGCAGAGTGGGTAATTTAGATGTAAAATTACGGGGTTACTTTATGTATTTTTCTTAATGACAGAGGTGGGTAATTTATTTAAAAAATTACAATAGATCTAATGGCTATTATCAGAGATGATGATTAGACCCTGCCAAATTAAAGGCCAGAAGTTTCTAAGTATTGTGAGAATCTAATGACAAAATTACCTGTTACTTGTGCAACAACAATAAAATTAAACACCTAATATATAGGACAAGTGCTAAATTAATGGCTAAAGAAAAGAAGATGAGCAGGAAGTGCCGTTTGCTGTACCGGGTCTGGCTGAGCTTCAGTGGATAAAATACCGAAGCACATATACAGCCCCACACAGAGTTTGATGGTGCACGGCTACATCGCCTGAACGGACTAAAGGAAATCAGGCAACTGATAGATTAGAACAAGTGTTATATAAATCATATGCATCCGCATTGCATAGATCTGCCATCATGGTCAATACAACAACGCTACTACATGATGCTTTTACGTGAGCCGTGCGGCATATGCATCATTCACATCAGTAACAATCACATCGACGCTGTTTTCAAAAAAAAAAAACAATTACATCGACGCAATGCCACAGGAGCAGTTTGGGTAGTAATAATCACCGGGTGACCTGGTCGGAACCAACAGATTTCTCTGGTAGAAGTTGGGCCGGGCGCAGCTGAAAGGCCCCACTCAGCGTGGGCATCACCGGGAAATCCTCCTGGCACGGGAATCACACCGTGTACAACAGCACAATGTCTCCGTCCCTGATGCTTCCATTCGTCTTGCTCCAGGCTCCCAAGCTGTCCTCCCCCGTGCCCTGCTCCGCGTACAACCCCGTCGCCCACTTCTCTTACCTGTCGTAGGGCGTCACCCACACCTGCTGCTTGGTGTAGCTTGCGCGGCGCTGCGGGTAGTCGTCGTCCGCCAGCAGCAACGCACCCGTCGCCCCCCCCGCCGGCACGAGCCGGTACCCGATCTCGTTGCCGACCGCGGTCCTCTTGCTCGGGTTCACGAACAGCAGGTCCGCCGGTGGGCTGTTGACGTCCACCTGGCCATCCGCCTCGGTCTCGGCCACCTCGCGGCGCACCGTCCAGTAGCTCCTTCTCGGCGTGTCGGCCCCGCCCGGGACCGGGTCCCTGGTGTTGCGCGCGGGGACGATGGTGTTCTTGATGAATGAGTTGTTGGTGCCGTCCAGGTCCAGGTCCAGGTGGTACGTGATGAGGTGGTCGTGGTAGACACCCACCGGCCACCAGCGTGCCGTGCGCGTTCAACTTGATCTGCTCCACGTGTGTATACGACGTCGCCTTCATCTCAAGGATGCCACTGAGTGACACCTGCAGCGCATGCTTATGGTTATGGTTAGTGTGCATGTTTTTGGTTTCATGATTTGCTCCATCATCACGTGACACAAAGGGACAACAAGAGAGATGGTGGACAAGACGTGTGTGTGTGTGTGTATATATATATATATATATATATATATATATATATATATATATATATATATATATATATATATATATATATATATATATTCAGTAGCCAGCTACAAAATAAGTTATTTTATAGCCACCTTCATTTATGATAATTTTATATAATAATTTACGATAATGTCAATACATATTTACGATAGTTAGGTTATTATAACACATGAGGATATTTAACGTAACGTTATAGTAAACCACTTAGTAAGAAGTTACTATAATATTATAAATTAATATAGTAATTATTATAACTTAAAGTGGCTGCAGAATAAGTTATTTTGTAGCCAGCTAGATGTCGCCTGGCGTCACACCGTGTTTGGGTGGCCGGTGTGATGCCACGCAACATCGCCGGCATACCGCTCGAACAGGCATATGACGTCCTTGGCCTCGACGGGCTCACCGTCCGCGTTGGCGTAGTAGCCGTCGAAAGTAGGCCGCATTCGTGGGGCAGTCGGCGCCACGAAGGAGCGGCGACGCCGAGACGCCCGGGCTGTTGTCACCGGAGTCTATGAACGTGTGGAAGTACCACTCCTCCACCGTGTCCATGTAGGGACAAACACCTCCAACACGAAACCACCGTAGTGCACCGGCCGATGCCGCTGGCCCCCCGGTGGTATCAGCGTCTTGGATCGAGGCGAGTGAGATGACCATGCTGGCGCGCATGTCGAAGCCAACATGGAACTCCCAGTTGGCCCATCTGCAGTCAGGCAAGCGAGGTAGAGTGGTACTCCCAATCACTTCCGAATATAGTGCAGTTAAATCCAGCAGTTCCAAAAATAATGCAATTCTACTATATTCTCATGACCAATACCTGATTACCTACACTAAATAATAAAGATCGAATTGAAATAATTTTATTAGATAGATGTTTTTATTTTAGAAGGCAACACATTTATCTGATAGCCTATGTAAATAATTTTAGGAGACAAAATTAACACTTTGAAAGACATGAAAAAAAATATGTCTATCTCTAAAAATAGATTTACAGGGTACGTATCCTAAGGCGTCCGCGCGCCTCCATTAATCATCGAATTAGAGTTAGAGGTGATCGCCTTAGGATGTCCATCTCTGTAAATCGTTCAGAGGTGTGCATCTAAAGATGCCCGTCTCGCTAGAAATAGTTACGTCGAAAAATAATTCATAACTTTTCATATAAATTGAGATGAAGAAAAGTTGTGTATTAAAATTGTAGCTCTGAACGCAATCTACAACTTGTTGTTTAAGTTCATACGTTAATTGTTTGAAACTGTTTATGGTCCCAAAATATTGCTTAAGTTCATGAATTTTGAAATTTAAAATTTTCAAACAAAGTAGGATGTTGTCATGATGTATACCAATGTTGTAATTCTCAATACAAGTGTAGTTGATTTTTTTTTACATTTGAGGTTGTTTAGAGTCCCAAATATATGTCTTAAGTTCATATATTTTCAAATTCAAAATTTAGAATTTCTAGACAACCTTGAATGTTCACATAGTTAATATCAAAGTTGCAGCGGTCGACATGTTTTACAAGTTTACTATTGATAAGTTTTTTAAAAGTTTTGTAATCTCTCTAAAAATTATTTTATATTCATGTATTTTTTGATTCAAATATTTGATTTTTTCAAACAATCTTGGGTGCACACACATCTTATACCAAAGTTGTACTATTTGACAATATTTAAAACATTGTAGTTGAAACCTTTTTATTTTAGTATATTTAGTAGCTAAAATATTCAATACAAGATTATGAAAGGTTGATACAAAACAATAGCATGATCTTATATATACTCACAAATGATTGTGTGCTAGGGAGGTGTTAATATTGAGTGGTAGATCGTGAGTTGAAGTCCTGAGAAATACAAAAAATTTTTGGTTTTTTGAGTTTTCCAGAAACACGATTAACAGAGACGAGCATACTGATCTCCTTGCCAAAATTGTCGACCTCCGAAAATTCTCTTTTTAGTAGCCCAACTAGTGGTTGGTCCTTATGTGGCACGCTGAACACAAGATAAACCTTATATATTTTCACCAACCTATAATGAACTGGACGTAAATTATTCGATGATAGTTGTTGTTGGATATATTTTGTTTTTAATTAAAATTATCCACCTTTAAAAGCATCATAAAGTAACCCCTAAACCTAAATCTAAATTACCAACATCTGGGATTTATGATACAAATAAAAATGCAAAAACACATATCACAATTCATATCTCTTTTTGCTCCTCCATCTCCGCTGACCCCTCCTACCATTCCTCTGTCCTCTTGCCTGCTCCTCCTTCGCTAGATTACCGCTTACCACGACTTTTGTCAGGGGGGACGGAGCCATGGTGGTCGAACTCCATATCTACTACTCGAGGAACCCACCTGCGCTTCAGATCCCCGTAGGAGAGTCCGTGTGCGGTCTGCTTGGACCAGCTCCTGCTGTCTACTCCTCCTCCACTAGACCACCACCACCAATCCACCTTGGCCGCCGAGGAGGATGAATGATGAGTCCATGGTGGTCGATCTTGGACTCCCAGCAGGTGAGTGTGCCCACGGTGAATCCATGGTGATCGATCTGCCCTCCCAACTACGCTCGGCCCTATGTTGTTAGGTGCTAGCTGTTGGCTACCTACGGCGGTCGGAGCCTCCAATTGCTAGATCTGGACACTGTACAGGGCTTGTGAGTAGGGGAGATGGGGTGGAGGTTTGGGGTTGGGGCGATTTGGACTTGGGTGTGGCCGGTGATAGTTGTGGGAGTGGGTGAAGGGCTGAGTGATGTACGGAGGCTAAGGGTTAGGGTTACAACTTGCTTATATATATGTTGGTATACTATGCTTTATTAGCATCATGGCCCTTCAGCGATTATGTAGGCAGGTCCCCATGAGGCAAGTACTATGTAGGCGATCATGGGCCTGCATACCATCATCGCCCCATGGTCCCCGATGACGATAAGATTTTCACCATTTGATTCCCTATATGGAGAAAGAATTCCAACCATCATCGAGGGTACCATTGAGTAGGGGCATGGCGGCCATATGGCCTTGTTTTAGGTAGTGATGGAGAAGACAACTCTAATAAATGGACCTGTAGAAAATATGAGGACTAAAGTATGACGCCTATTTTAGGTACTAGTGTTAGAGTTGTTGGTTGCCCATTGGTTCTTGTTGTTCTGATTTGACTCCATTTTTTCTAGATCTGATTTTGGACCTCCCATTTCTAAATGCTAATAACGTGCAAAATAAAAATATAATTTTATTATTTTATTACACACAAAAAATAGCATTATCATCCAATTATTTAGCTTATCGTTCGAAGCAATGACATAATAAAAGTGAGCATTTTAAATTATAGATCATTTATAAATTATTTTAAAAGCTCGATGATGTCAGCGAAGTAGCTTTTCTATCTCATTGAATTTGAGTTTAGGTGCCAAATAAGAAAGCTGTATTTTTTTTTGTCAATTAGGAAAATTTCTCTTGTTTTAACTCCAATTTTTTTTTTCTTTATGTAGTTTGGACCAGCCATTTCTAAATGGTAACGTGCGGAATAAAAATATAACTTTAGGCACGAAAAAATAGTGTCGTCCTTTAGCTTGGCATTAGAAACAATGACATAATAAAAGTGAGCGTTTAAAATTATATATCATTTATAGATTATTTTAAAAGCTCGATGATGTCAGAGAACTAGGTTTTCTATCTCGTTGCAAGTTGCAAGTCGCATTACTGTTGAATGATGCAACGCTAGCGTGGTCCAGAGGAACAAGTAGATCACGAACGGTGTGGGCTCTGTCCATTCAACACCTAAACATATCAAGAACAGTGTTGAAGATGTGACACCTTACCTGACAACACGGCCATCAATCCGGAATCCACTGCCCTCCGGCTGCACAACCACGCCGGGCTTCGTGGCCGGCCTGGTGAACGGCGGCCCGAGCTTCTCCGCCCTGTAGTCCGTACCATCGGCCTTGGGCACCGGCTCCACCACCCTGTCCCGGTACCCGACGATGGCCACGTGGTCGAGGTCCACCACCAGCGTCACGCCCTCCAGCGGCCGCGCGTAGAAGTTGGCCGATCCGGCGCTCACGAAGCACTGCATCTTCGCCACCCTGGCGCCGCCGTAGTCCGGCTGGCCACCGGCGCTGAACCAGCCCCTGGAGAGCACCCCGCAGCCGACGTCGCTGACGTTCAGCCCGTGGCGCTGCACGGACTCCACGAACGGAGGGTACGAGGGCGGCAGCGACCTGGTCCTCCGCCGTCATCATCGGGAAGCCCGCGTCGTAGTGGAGTGCGTGCGAGAGGACGGACGGCGCCGAGGTGTCGGTGACGTCGACGAGGAGCTTGTGCGACTGGCCATCGGCCCGAGCGATCACGAGCGCGCGCCGCGGGAGGTGGGCCGTGGAGGCGCCAGCGCCAGAGGCGTATGTAGGTGAAGACGACCGCCTTGTCGTGCTCGTCAATGCCGACCTAGTGGAAGTGCAGCAGGCGGGCGGGGACCAGCGGTGATGCGAGCACGGCGGCTGCTCGGATAGCCGTGACCTCGGCGGCAGAGAGTGGGTCGAGCGGGTGCCGGGTGGGGATGGGAGGATGCTGCTTCCAGGGCGGTGGTGCTGGTGAGCAAGAGGACAGGGAGGACAGCAAGCATCATTGTTGCCAGGAAAAGAAGCGTGCACTCCAAAAATGGAGTCCAAGAGCTGATATAGGCTTATTGGCTCCGATCCAAATTAAAAGAAGTGCACATCTGATTTTTTCAGATAAATTAGATTTATAAATTACAAAAATATGTTTTATTATTAACATAATAATACTTATTATATCATAAATATTGGTGTTTTTTTATATATTTATTAATTCAAACCTAATTAACTCCTCACAAAATAAAAATATGCAATCTTTCTAGGACGAGTAGAGAATAGCTGGATGTCCTTTGTTGTACTAGCATAGAACTAACTAAATTTATGAATTTATAATACTTACATTTATCAAAATTACTATCCCATGCATATTGTCACTAGAGATAAAAACAGTTAAGACATTGAATCGATTCTTTATATCATAGATATTTAATTCTATGACTCGTTTAGAGTTTAAAAAATTTGTCACATCATCAGATACATATAAAACTCTCACTTGAATGACCACAAGATATTTAGAGCCAGTTTGCAGGGCTTTGGTCCAACTAATAAGGCTCTAGCTCTAAAGACATGTATAACCCATAGATTGGGTAGCTATCAGCAAGTTCTTTCCTTCTCACGCATAGACATCTAAGGCCATTTTCAATGGAGAATATCATAGCGTTGTTTGCAAGACTGCCACATATGTAAAATTAAATGAAACATGGGGTGCTACATCCATTCTCAATGCATAATATTTTTAGAAAGTGGGTGGCTACAGTGCAGCAGAGGAGATGCTCACTCACACGAGGGCCAAGTTCCAACCCTAGGTGAGAATAGCCATTCTTTTGGCTGATTTGTGGTGCTGAGCATGTGCCACTTGTGGTCCATCTCCATGGACGATTTGAATCATTGTGTTCGATTATCAACGCTTTGGTAGCCCCAATATTAATCATTGTAGAGATAAAAACAGTTAAGACATTGAGTTCATTCTTTTATTTCATAAACATTTAGTTTGATGGCTCATTTAGAGTTGCAAACCAAGTCAATAGAGTTACGTCTTCTCTCTTTTTTAAAATATTATCACATCCTAAAAATGCTTATGTGGCAATACAGATGAAACTCCCACTTAGGTCAACGAAGATATTTAGAGCCAGTTTGCAGGGCTTTAGTCCTAGTAAAAAGATTCTAGCTCTAAGGACATGTGTAACCCACGGATGGAAGACTAGTAAGAGTGCCGACAACGTGTACGCTATTGCCTATGATAATACCATTGGCACTTCTACTTCCTCTATTCTAGCATCGTACATCTCCGGACCCTCTGGTAGTTTATGAGCAATAAAGGGTTCCTGACATTTCAGAAAACGACTTCAACTAGCCCGAGCAAATGCATAGGCAGAGTTAGTGACTATTTTTTTTCTAGAATATATTATTCAATTCATCCAAATTTGTGTTATTATTCAAGTACTTTTAATTAATGCGAACCTACACATACATGTGTTTTCATGCTTTGTAATAGTTATTGATATTTCAAATATTTATGGTTTGACAAAATATCATCTTGAAGGACAAGCTTTGTGTCATGAGGCAGTAATAGATGAGAATTCTATTACCAGTAATTTTTATTTAATAGTTTCAGAAGCTGATGTTAATTATGTTATATCTCGTTGTAGATCAGTTTTCTGTTTATCCAAACTCAGCTTACAAACAATAGTTCAGCCACATTACAGTAGAACACAATATCACTAGATTTGACCATTGGCAATCAAGCGTCATAATCAAGTCGGTTAGTTTGCATACAGTCAAGATATTCACTAAAACAGCACCATGCTCTACCTTGCCTTATCAAACATCACAACATGACTTCCACTAGCCAATGCAAATGCATAGGATAGTGACTAGCTAGAACAAAATTTAGTTTTCTTTGCATATTCACCAATGGTTCCTTCCATTGTTGAGCTTTTTAGAATACCACAATATGTTCTAGCATACCAGCAAACTATGACATCAATATTCCTTCCGTGAGGTTTCAAACTTTGTGTTAGTTCACACATGGCAGGTCATCAGACCCACCCAATGAAAGAACCCTGAATACCTCATTACAATGTGGTGTCATGAGAATATTGGGACAAAGCTAGTAATAAAGTTAGCTTGTACTGACAGAAGATATGGAGCAGTGCAATTTCAATGCGAAGCAGATGCGTGCATGTGTGTATGTTGCAGAGCTCATAAGATGATCTACCATGATTTGATAACATAGTTAGCAAAGTGATAAACCTTTTGTTTCCCCAAAGACCAAAGTCGAACAAAACCAAAAATCACTGGACAAATGATCCATGAATGAATAAAATCTATGATCAGTTGGTCAATGCAAGTGAGTTGGCTGGACGGCTGACATCAACATGTTCGGCTGCTGCTTATCACATCCCCGGCGATGGCAACAGGAGTGAAATTCGGCTGTTCGAGGCTTGGTGCACTATTCTGTTTTTCACAACAACATATGTGCAGATGTATGTACTGGCTGGTATCCTGATGCCTCCCACATCCATCTGATCCAATGTTTGTGGCGAGCATGATCAACTAATTTAGTAGACTCAATTAATTATTTGATGGCCAAAGTCTTCAGTAAGCCCAGCACCAAGAATAGTTTATCTTGTGAGATGGAGCAACGAGTATATATAGGGTTTCACAACTAGAAACTGGAGTAGCTCTCGAGGTGACAATTTTTTTTGTGTACTTTGAGATGCGACTTTGGCAACCCTACACATGAGAAGGAAGAGGTGAGTTTGGAAGGTCAAGTGGTGCCTAAGAAAGATACCTTTCATTATCTAGAATCGATGCTATAAAAGGATAGAGATATTGATGCAGACGTTTGCCATAGGATCAAAGTAGGGTGGATGAAGTGGCGCCAAGCATCTGGCATGCTCTGTGACAAGAGGGTGCCACAAAAGCTTAAAGGCAAGTTTTATAGAACAACGATTAGACCCGCTATGTTGTATGGAGCAGAATGCTAGCCTACAAAAAGACGACTTGTCCAACAACTGAGTGTTGCAGAAATGCGTATTTTGCGTTGGATTTATGGTCACACAAGGATGGACCGAGTTCGGAATGATGATATTCGTGACCGTCTAGGGGTAGCACCAATTGAAGAAAAGCTTGTCCAACATCAGTTGAGGTGGTTTGGCCATGTCCAAAGGAGACCTTCAGAGGCACCAGTGCATTGTGGAGTCCTAAGTCAAGATATCAATCTGAGGAGAGGTAGAGGAAGACCGAAGCTGACTTGGAGGGAGGCAATAAAAAGAGATTTAAAGGGTTGGGATGTACCTAGAGATATTTGTTTGGATAGGAGTGCTTGGAAAGCGGCTATTGACGTGCCTGAACCGTGACTAAGGGCTCATGTTGGGTTTTAACTCTAGCCTACCACAACTTGCTTGGGACTAAAAGGCTTTATTGTTGTTGTTGTTGTTGTTGCCATATGTGAATGGCAATAGAGGCCTTAATTGCTAACCATTATTGGCTTACACGTGTTGTGAGTACTAGGACACTATCATTACTACAGAATTTAACATCACTGCTGGTTCAAAACCACCATCACTGCCGATAGTGATGAGGTTTTCAGGAAACCCAAAAAAGATATTGACAACCAAAATTGTACATTTTTTGAAGTTGTCAAAATAAGGAACGAACTTCACCATTGCGTTCCTCTCGTCGAGATGGTCAAAAAACATATATTGAACATCTAATTCGGAGTTCGGATGAAGCAGTTATGCCCCTAGAAAGATGCTCCGTTGTCGAGAGTTCCGACCCAAGTCAGGACTTCCGATTGTTGAAAGTTCCGATAGGTGTCGGGACTTATGGGAAGCCTAAAAAACTAGCTCGGGTGTCTGAGGTTATCCCCAAGTCAGGAGTTCCGATTGTCCCGACGGGCCTAATTTAAAACCCTGTTCGGATCTAGCCTTTGATCTGAACTATTCTAAACTCATGAGAAACTTAAAGAATAAGTCTTAGAGAGGTTTCCTACTAGGATAAGACCACCCCCTCTATATATATGAGAGGATCATGGCCAATTGAATTCCCATCTATTCAATCGACAAACAAATTAATCTACTACATCTACTCCAACCCTTTTACTCTCTTCTCCAACCCCATGTTGTTCATCTCTTGATCCGACGACCAAGGATGGCACTCTAGGCTTGCCGGCCGACCTAGGGCAACCCGGCAATGTTCTTGCCCTGACGAGGTCCCTCCCAGCTGAGAGCTTTGATGGTTTCTTTGCTAGTTTGCCTAAAAACTTATTGGTTCTTCATCATGTAAGCACGTTGTTTATCCTTTGGTGGTTTGCTTATAAACCTCTTCGTTCTTCACCATGAAAGCATGACATCCTCGCTGCGTTCTTTGGTCCATAGTAGTCCAGGCATCCAAGGCCATATTGGTGTGTGATTCGGATCACTTCCGATGTCAACACACTTTTTGGCGACTCCACTGGGGACGATTGGTTCGACTATCTCTTATAGCCGATATCTCTGACCTAGCCTTACTCCTCATTGATCTATCTTCTCATGCTCGCCATTACCGTTGGATCTAGCACAAAAGGCCGATCGCATCTGGTTTTGACCCCTTGTGATCTCATTTGTGACTCTCCAACAAGTTGCGCTGCTTATTGGAAAATTTAGCAAGGCGGTCAAGTTATAAACCATGGAGTACCAAGGTGTTTCATCACAATATTACTACAATCACCCTGAGGTACAACTTGCAAATGCATCTTATGATTCCAATAGTTATTTTGCAAGTTCTATGAGCTCTCATGTTGGTGTTGCTAGATGTAATGATACTAGATATGTTACATCGGCTAATACTTTAGTTAATGCTCCTTATAATACACATCATGATTATGAATATTATGGTTAAGAGTCGATGTCAATTGTAAATTCTTCAAGTTTTGATGCTACTAGCAACATACAACATGTAAATCCTTATTCATCAGCTATAAGTTCACAATATGTGATTCCACCACATGACATGCCGATGAATGAGAGAATTGGCTATGATAATGCTAATTATTTAGCCAATTGCTCTTAAAATTCAGTACCATATGCCAATGCTAATATTCATAATTCAGCTTCACATGTTACTCCCAACTCGAGCCGAATTAATGAAAATTCAGCAAGGTATTTAAGTGTTAATACTCATGATTCGGCTTCACGTGTTACTAGTAACCATATCCGAATTAATGAAAATTCAGCACCTTATGCAAAGATCAATGTCCACAATTCGGCTTCATATTTTGCTCATGACCATAGCCGAATTAGTGAAATTTCAGCAAGGCATTCGAGTGCTAAAACTCATGATTTGGCTCCATATATTGCTAATAATTATAGCCGAATCAATGAAAATTCAGCAATGTGTGCACGTGCAAACAATCATGATTCGGCTTCATATACTCTCAAATCAAGCCGAATCGATGAAGATTTAGCCCATGCTAGGAATCCATATGGTTCCTCTAAATGGAAGGTGCCCACTTATCATAGACCGTACCCATTATGATATGATTACTTGAAAACTCCTGATGGTTGGTGGGTACCTGATTTTTATGAATTTAGTGGTGAAGATGATAAAATAGCTATGGAACACATTAGTATATATCTCTCATAGCTGGATTTTGCCGATAAAGAAGATTATATGAGAGTGTGAAATTTTCCTTTATCTCTTACTTGTATTGTGTTTGCATGGTTTACATCTTTGCCCCGGTGTACTATTGGTTCATGGTCTCAATTAGAGGAGCAATTCTATGAATATTTTGGAAAGACCAATGAGAAAAGGCCAATCACAGTTGAGTCATCGGCTAAAAGAGATTGCTAATGGACATGAAAGAAAGAATTGATTCGGATGTAAGCAAAAGATCGGTTACAAAAGCCAAACAACACAATATCCTTTCCGAATCAATCACATATTAAGAAACAAGTCTTGCTACAGAAAAGCATGAGAAGCGCAAGAAAATAGCTAGACTTGATTTTTAGGAGCTAAAGGGGTTGTACACTTATCTAGTGATTACCGCATCATTGATGAAGATCAAGCCCCAACAAGCAACAAAGGAGGGTTGCCTGCCAGCTCAAAATTGGCTGAGCTGACTTTGAAGTCGGCTAGGCCGACTTCCCAATCATCCAAGCCGATTGCCTCTGCCGCCTACTCTGAGTCGGCTAGGCCAACTTCTCAATTGGCCAGGGCGATTGCTCTTGCTGCTTTGCCTGCTAGTGCCCAAGTTAGCCTAGCCGACTTCTAATCGGCTAAGCCGATTTCCTCTATTCCAGCAGTTGTTGAGGTGCTTCCAGGTGATTTGACCCCTCTTGTTGATTGGTTTCTAGAGATGAAGAGCAATGTCATTCAAATCAAGGATATGAACTTCTCCAGCCTAATCAACAAGGCACAAGGTCCAAGTACTTTACCAAATTCCCAATCTGGTCATATTATTTCAATTGCTACGTCTATTAGTGATATTCTTGCTAGTAGTTTTAAAAGACGGATTGAGGAAGGTACTTTACTTTTAGATGATGAAATAAATTCAGATTCTATCAGCCAACACATTGTTCCATATGGCAAGGCCGATAGTGGTAGTTCGTCAAAGCTAAAGCTTCTCGGAAGCAATTGCAATGGTGTGGCCGAATGGATTGATGTTAAATCTGATCCATTCGTTTGCCTAGCTTTAAAGCTGACTCCACAAAAGAATCGGCTAAGGAAATCAAAGTACACCTTTGACTTTAC